AGCCTAATAGCATGGCTATAGACCCTTTAGTCTCATCATTTAACCATGACTTCCCTTTACTTAGCTTTAACCATACGTCACTTGGCATGCAGGGACGCTGTGGGGGAATAACTTTTTCAAAATGAAAGCAAATGTTTAGGGTGGTATGTCTGAATGCAGCTCCTGAGAGATGTGAGAGTGATGCAAGGTCTGTATTTGTGGAGGAGTGTACATTTGTACATGTGAGAGAGGGAGTGAGGCAGAGAGAGAACACTTTTCTTTGAGGGAATCATACGCTCACATACACCTCTCCTCTACAGATACACACTGCCATCTACAGTTGTTGTTTTCCATGTAAACATCTGGAATTTTAAAAGGATGAAAAACAGTTAACACACTCACAATACAGTCGAGTTACTGTACCTAAATGAAATGTACACACACCATACAGCTTTAGTAAGATTTCTTCAAATATGACTCATCTATAATACATTTACATTTGTCTTTTTTTAACAAAACAGTTAAATTATCTTTTTTCACACACAAACAGACTAACATACATTCTGTTTTGTGCAGTAAGTTTGCAGCTATCTATACTTTTGTTTCCACCTGCAAGTCTGTTTCCAGTCAAAATATTAGACAGAAACATGAATGAAGCTAAAGGCGGTGACTCACACACACACAAGCCCACGCACCCACCCAGGAGGATCTACATGGACCAACACTGCCCTCTAGTGACAGTAATGTCTTATCACAAACACAGAAATTAACGTTTCCTTTTCAAACTGACCACTTGGAGGCGCTCATCTATTATTCTTTCAGACAAACACACACACACACACACACACACACTCACAATACACATTTACTAGTGTATGCATCAAGTCAAATGCACTTTAAATGGGGGACTGTGATGAATGTAAGAGAGAAGAAAACCTATTTTTACCTCAACATGTTTTGAAAAGTTTATTTTAGCTAGATTTTCACCCCAGCCAAAAGGAATTTGTTTAAACTGACATTTGACGCAGCGAATCGTCTGCCTGATCTCCTGAGCGTCTGGCGTCCCTTTTACAGCAACTTCAACACTGTTTAAAGCGTTGAGGATTGCTGTTTACACTACACTGACAGAGAGAAAGTAAAGCAGAGAGAGGTAAAAACAAGAAGGTGAAGTAAACGAACGAGAAACAGACAAGGAGGTAGTAGTAGTAGTTGTAGTTGTTGTTGTAGTAGTAGTAGTAGTAGTAGTAGTAGTAGTAGTAGTAGTAGTAGGGGAAAAACCAAGAAAAGAATTCTGAAGTGTTAAATAAGTTTGGCAGAAGGGAAAAAAAAGCTTTTTCTTCAGTCGATTTAACCATCCTCCTCTTAGTATTATTATGACCACAGCTCATATGCTTTTATACATATTTTAATGATACATATTTTAATGTACTAAATATCAGACTTTTACTTGTGTACTTATACTAACCATACTACTGTACTACTAAAACTTGTCAAATGTAAATATACAAAAGAATAAAAAATGTATACATTGAACCTGTGATTGAAGCTGCTTTAATTGATTTTTTATCCAACAACTTAACAAGACCAAAATCAACATGTCTTAATCCATCTGCCAATACTTTCCACCTACAATAGTCTGTGGCACTACTACTGATGACATAGATCCTTAAAGACCAAACTTGTAGTTTAAGTTTTTAACAAATTTCCTAAAACAGCTGGCCACTGTAGTTTTTTGCAAATGTTTCTGTTGGGGACTATTTTTAGCAGCGAATTAATACACATTTGGTGCTCTGGTAAGTATTTCCAGCTGCAGGATGGCGTATGTGGGATTGGATCTAAATAAACTGTGTTCATGGTAAAAAAGGGACAGTGTTGTGTGGCTTATGGCTCATCAACAGGCAATACTTGTTAGTTGGATCAATTCACTGTTGTTTCCGGCTCTTTCAAGGGATTTTTTTAACAATGAGAAAAATAAAGAATATCACAAACATTATCCTTTAACTCTCCTTAAAGAATAAGATGCTAGATGTCCCACTTTCTTCACCAGCTAGTCGCTAACTAACTTGCTCTGTTTTGTGCTGGGCAGACAGTTAATATGTAACATTTCTGTATTAAAATGTCTAAAAACACTGCTCTATATTTTGTTGATATTATCCCAAAAGTTTTGAAACAGCAATGTTCAAACCCAGAGAGAGAAGTCATAAATTGACTTTCCATCCAGTTTTAAGCCACATTTTTACCATACACCTTTAGATCTTGGTTGTTTTTCACTATATATTTATAAATTTTATGTTAAACATATTTGAACCAGATGAAGGATTTTAGTCATCAGACGTCTGGATCTTAAGTCATCAGAGAAACAAGCTGAGCTAACGTTAGCAGCAGCTCGGCTCGCAGCCCCTCCGGGACGTCCTTTGTCTGTCCAA